GAGAAGGAAATTTTATATTTAAAGTTCTTCGTAAAATAAATAAATTATGCGAAAAACGCGTAAGGACATAATTGTCAAATGAATAAAATTCCATTGTACTTTACTTATACTAAATTTTTCTAAAAATTTACATTACGATAATTTCGAAAAAATATTTTTTACACTCACTATACATTTAATTATTATTTAGTTATTAAAATTTGTTGGTATGAATGATAATTAATGATATAAAAGTTTCAGATCAATTTCAAATTTCAATAATAAATACAATAATAATTATTCTTAATCACTCATTAACATATATATTTTTTCAAGTTCCTATGTCACGTACAATACAGAAACATAATTATGCAATAATAATTGAAAGATCATTTGAATAAAACAATCTCTATTTATATTTATACTTATATTTATAACTTATGGATATATCACAGAATCTTACAGACGTAAATAATTTTTTATGATATTTTCAAAATTTATTGCAATAAAAATTATATGTAATATCTATAGAAGATTCGGCATAATAGAATAAAAATTTAAGCCACATACCTTTTTATCTAATATTTTATCTAATATTGTGCTAGCTGTTTTTAAAGTTTTCTTTCAAATTTACCTGCGACTTACAATCACACGTGTACTGCTCTTATTTATATTTGCATGTGTTCATATTTGCATATGTAAATTTAAACGAATTTTCTAAACTATTTTTAATTTATCTCTATGCAAATGAACATCAAATGAAAAGTTATCAGTTAATATAATTTCGTATTTTAAAGGAATATGTTAAATACTTCAAAATTAAAAGAAAAATGCGTAGAAATTGAACAAACAGCTGCATACGACGTCAATATATAATGATAAAACTTTTACTAGTACTTTTAAAATTCATAAGCTAAAATATGTAAAATGTCTTCTTCTTATTTTTTTGGATCATTAAAAAATTCATTTAATTTTATTATTGTCCTTCCTTTATAATAATAAATAAAACTGAAAGTATAAAAAGCAGTGTTTTATAGTCTTAAATATTTATAGATGAAACGAAGAAGTCCAAAGAGAATTTAAAATTCTACTGCATATAAAAATTTATGTTTAATTTAACAAATATCACTTTTTGTATTGTGAAAATTGATAGTAACATTATTTCTGGGAAAAATATATCTATGCAAACGTAAGAAATCAAATATTTACTTGTAGTACATATCTATAAATTTTTCATTTTTAATATAATTTACTGGATTTTCTATGACGTATACGTTTTAAAACATTTTTATTTATTAACTAAATTTATGCGATAATATTTCATTCAAAAAAAAAAAAAAAAAAAAAAAAAGTGTAACGATAATTTATTGTAAAAATGTATAAAATTTGATTAATTTTTTTTTTTTAATGTTATTTTATAGAGATTTTATTGTTGTGTCTATTATATGATATTCCAATATAATTTGATGTAATAACACTTTAAAAAAATAATACTTAAATAATATTTAAAATAAGAGTAAATATAAATGAGAAATAACCATAAATCGAGATAACGGAACATTATTTACAAATCTCAAAGAATAAAAACCTTGAAAATGAATGGAAGAAGGAAGAATAATCGATATACAAAATAAACGTGATATAATATATATTTACTTATACGTGTATTGACGACAGATGAAAAATTCAATTTCGATGAAGTTTACGGGGGAGCGAATAGTAAATATAAAAATAGAATCAAACTTATATTGTTATTAAATAATAATATACGACCAATAATTGAATTGTAATTTTATATAATTTATTTGTAATGTTGTTTCACTAAATAACTTATATCGTATTATTATTATTGTAAAATATTGTAAAAATATATAATGCTATAAATAAATAAATTTATGACTACTACGAATTTATACAATATAGATGATATTGAAAATGAATTATTTGCAAATTACTGTCCCGAACTTCCTAGTATTCATGATTAAAATAAAATAAGTAAATTAAAATAATAATATATGCATATACATTTATTACATATTGCAAAATGTATGTTTTTACCTATCTGGAATAGACTTTTTCATTCAATTAAACACATAACGTATAGTTTGTCGTTTTAAATTATGTTCATTTTGGCTGTTTTTTATGCTATATAATACTATCCTTGAGAAAAATATTTCTTATATAAGATCATATAATGTAAGGCTGCTTATGCATAACATCATGTACTTTGGTATTAATTCTGTGACGAAAAATTGCAATGACACTATTTTAAAAACAATTCATCATTATTTAATAAATTGTTTTAAGCTGGCTACTTTGTAAGTTAATCGCTTTTTATTGTCATTTTTAAACATTCAAATGTTTGCGAGTGTCACGAATAATATAATTGCATTGATCATTAATTATACGGAAGAAATGAAATTCGAAATCAAATTTGTTGAATTAGTAATGTTGAATATTTTCGATTATTTAGTTGTCTTTGAATTCTATCTACAAAGAAAAAAAAATAAAGATTATATAAAAATAAATATTAAGATATATTCTCTATCGGGTAAATAAATAATTTTAATGTGAGAAATTAATTATCACTAAATTAAAACGAACCGATTTAGTAATTTATAATGTAGGATGAAAAATTTATAAAATCTCTCGGTTATCTTTGAACGTAAGGTACTTTTATTTTTTATTTTTTGCGATTAAAAAAGTCTGTATATATATATATATATATATATATATATATATATATATATACAGACTTTTTTAATCAACCTTGAATTTTAAAAAATCTGTCGATACGAATTTTTATTTTAAAACAAATTTTCAAATTTTATGAACTAAAGTATTTTTAATTATATGTATGTGCTAGGTGACAATGAAAAGAGTGCCGTGCACATATACTATCATCGATTAAATACTTGATTTTTTCAATTTAAATCAAAAGTAAGTGCTTCTATGATGTTATCACAAATTAATTACATATTTAAATTAATAATTCAAATTTATATCCAGAGATATGTTTTTTTTTTTTTTTTTTGGTGTCAAGCATGTTCCAATTACTTTCTAAGCTGAAAAATTGAAATTTCTATGAGTATATTTAATTTAAAAGATAAATAAAAAAATACAATTTTATTTTTATCGTATTTTCATTCAAATTAATATATTACTATTAATTAAGTCATTAATGGTAAAAATTAGAAAAACGATGTAAATACGTTGCGCTACTATGTAAACAAATAATAAAAATTAAATTACAAAAAAATATAAATTACCGTTAAAAGAGAAGAGAAGAATAGGGCAAAATTTTCTTTGAAGTATAATAAATGTTGAATTTTACTATCTATAGAATACATTGATAATTGGTATAAAAAAAGATTTAACACTAATATTGCAAATTTTACTACAAAATTCATAGAATACTCTGATTATAGACTTAAGTTTTTTATGGTCGTTTAATATTATTAAACTTAAGAGAGAGAGAGAGAGAGAGAGAGAGAGAGAGAGAGAGAAAAATCAGCAGGTCTATCTATCACAATACGTACTCTTAATTATAGATATATTATTATAAAACTATTATGAAACTATTATTTTATTGTATAGAAAAATACTTTATTGCATTCTCCGTATGTTCTGAGATAAATTAATACCTTCGTCTTAATGATAATTGAGCTAACCAAAAATTCCATGTACTAATCAATACATTTATTTTTGTTAGTGCAAATGAACAATAGCTGCATGTTTTGATTTTCCATGTATTTTATGCGAATAGTAACGCAATCGCATCAAGATAATCAATCGTTTATAGCTTCATATCACACTTGTTTAATATATGATTTAAAAAAAAAAAAAAAAAAAAAAAAAAAAAAAAAAAAAAAAAAGAGAGAGTGCGCTTTGTTATATCGACAAGATTGTTTACATATCAACTTTCTGTATTACAAAGTATTTTTTAGATAAGATTGGAAGGTATAAAAGTATCAATAAACACAATGTACTTATAAAAATAAAAAAATACTTGTCATTTGCAACGGCTTCGGGCACCGCTCAAACAAGCTCGATATACGCATAGAATTATTATTATATCGTAAGATAAAATTAAACTATTGAAAGGCTATTAAATTTTATTCGACGTATGCCATTAATTTTAATGTTATTAACGTGTCATCCAATAAATCATCTTACGCGACACGCAAATCAACTTCAAATCTCATTACCAACAATTTCCGAATAAATTCTACGTTGTGTGCTAATCTATCGCCACAAATTATGACCACTGAAATATTTTGGCAATTTAAAAAAAAAAAAAATTAAATAAAATGTTTTCGTTATAAAATAAGGCGTAGGAAAGGTCAAATTTTCCTAAAATCTCTTCAAGCCTTTAAATACTTTTCATTGAAAAGTCGATCGAAGCAATTTAAAATAAAATGAATAATTGCAAAAACTCGGATATATAAATTAAATACAGATAATAAAGAATGACGTTATCGC